CGTGAACATGTAAGCATCTCAGCACTGGCAAGGGTCTCCACACGGCTGCTCCAGCACCCAGCGCTGCATCGGGATAGGTCCATGCGGCTTCTCCTTGGGGATGTCTTGTAGGACGTCAATCTTGCAAGCTGAAGCAGGGAGCTGCTAAGGCAGCTGCATCCTGGTGCGACCATCACAAAGCAAGAGACCCGAGAACTAGAAAGGCTAAGGCTCACCACCCATTTATCCCTCCGCCTTTCAACCAGCACCACATGTGATTATTGGCCAGGCTGGCACAATTAACTAACTCACTTACCATTCACAAAGACCCCTCGGATGAGTTTGGTGTACGCTTTATCCAGGTCTCCACGGCGCTCAGCATTTTTAAAGATTGATTCTGCTAGTCCTGCAAATTCTTCAAATTCGGCAACAAATGGAAGAATTCCTACTTTACTCTTCTTTGAGATCTTTACTTCCTCCATTTGCCTTATTTGGTTACTCTAAAGATCGGCAGAAAGCAGGGGAGAGAGAAAGCCAAGCAAGTGAGAAACAACATATAATGATAAATGTGTATCACATGTATATCACAGAGGCAGTACATCATTCAGAGATACAACATTTTGTAGACTTACTGACAACAGATGAATCAGAATGGGGTTAATAAGGAAAAACTACTTTTATAGGTTTACAGAGACAAAAATGGTTATAAGTTTCATAATTGAAAAAAAAAAAACCAAAATGCCCAAACCATTGAAAACAAAATATAACCAAGCCTTATGAACTTCAAATAACTGTGGAAAGAAAACCAACCAATAAACAGTTCTACCATGTATGAGAGAGAAGGCCAAGGCTCGGGCTCATTTTGGGAGCAGACCAGAGAACGCATGAGCAATTGCCAGCTTATTTCCAGTTAGTTGTAGTGTGGCCACCTTTGGCAGTCAAAGCTATTTACTAGTCTCACTAGTTGAGCATTTGTCTGGGTCATAGGTTCCCAAACTTATTTGGCCTAGTGCCCCCTTTTCGGGAAAATAAAAATTACTCAGCACCCCTTTGGCAAATGAAAACTTAGCCCAGGACAAAATGTAGCTATCTACTCTTGCAGCCCCCCAAGACTGTTCCAGTGCCCCCACTAAGAGGGTGGCACTGCTCACTTTGGGAAACACTGGTCTAGATAAACGTACCTCTATTATTTGGGGGGAATGGACTAGGGACAGATCAGCATTTCTATTATGAACTTTCATTACATAGTCTTCTGTATATTTATTAGCTACTCATTCTAAATTAGTTCAACATCAAAGTGCTTGTGCATAATGGTGGGAAAGTACAAAAGGGAT